ATACCCTAATACCCTAATACCCTAATACTCTAATACCCTGATACCCTGATACCCTAATACCCCAATACCCTAATACCCTAATGCCTTGATACCCTAATACTGTAATACCAAAATACCCTAATACCCTAACACCCTAATACCTAATACCCTAATACCCTGATACCCTAATACCCAAATACTTATCATATCACCCCAATACACTAATACTGTAATACACTAATACCCTAATACCCTGATACCCTGATACCCTAATACCCTAATACCGTTATACCTTAATACCCTAATGCCCTAATGTCTTATATCCTAATGCCCTAATGCCCTACTACCCTAATTTTTTATAACCTCAAAAACCCAGTACCCCAATTTTCCAATACCCTAAAACCAGAATACCTCAATACATCAATACCCTAATAACCTAATTCCCCAAAACCTTAGTACTTAAATCGAGCAAGTGCTTTCTACTATCCAGGTCCAATCTTTGATGTTAAAAACAGTTCTTGCTCAAGGTATTGGCAACCAAAAACAAATCCACAACTTGAAGGTGAAAAAAAAAAAAATTAACGCCCAATTGTTCCCCTCCCTCGCCCAATAAAAGTAATGGTCCTTCCCTAATCCTTTCTCTTTTCTTCCAGGCTCGACCACTGCGCTACATGGGTGGGTATGCTGTGTGCATATAACTACCCGTACATCGAGAAGTTTCTTCTCTACTTAGACAAAAAGCACGAAAATCGGCGCGCGGAGCAAGTGGCCCTGCTTCTAAAAATCTGGATCACCGTAGCCTTGTTTGGTGTGTTAGTGATCTGGTTTCATTTCATCTTGATGCAAGAGAGGCAATTTTACATGGTCATACATCCGTTCACCTCTTGGATTGTCATCCTCATTTATCTCTGGTTCAGGAACATGCATCCTGTTCTCCGTTCTCATTATCTTGGCCTCTTCAGCTGGCTTGGAAAAATCACCCTGGAGACTTACCTTTCTCAAATTCACATCTACATGATTGGCGACGCACAGAAGATCCTGATCTACATACCAAGATATCCCATGTTGAACTTCATGTTAGCCTCCGTGATCTATGTCGCTGTCTCGTACGTGCTCTTTTACCAGACGCTGTTTTTTAACACCTATGTTTTTCCTAAGAACATGGGAATTATTTGTAAGAATCTCATCGTGGGTTCAGTATGGTTAGGACTCTGTTATTCGATCTCTTTTTTACTCAACCTTGCGGGAATCTGGTAAATTCTCATCTGCATTCCTTGCTTTCCTTGCTTTTACACGTTTTCCTAACATAAGCTTATTTATAAAATATAAAAGGGTAAAAAGTATAAAGAATTTTCTAAAAAACGAACGCTTTCGCTTTTTTAAGGGTGAAGGCATCATTTGTATTTGTAAATACAACATGAATGAACTTTGTCCAAGTGTCGGAATGTTTAGGTTAAATAACTAATTGTGGACACTCAAAAAATGAATAGATAAATGAATAAGAGATATACATTTGTACACAGTTTGTGCGGCGCGCTGTCTAATTAAAACTTTTGGATTAGCTACCGAAAATTTAGCTCTAAGAAGGGTTCCAAGCTCTCGATCAGAAGGACGTTTTTTACATCACTGGATCTCCTAAATATAAGCTGTTAATAAGCTGTTAAAAAATAGAAGGAAAAAAAGAAAAAAAAGTATAGAAATGTAGAGTAATGTAATGTAAGTTTAGTCCTGTGCGAATGTTTTCTCTTTAAATGTTCATTTAATTGAAAAATGAAATAAAATAAAATAAAATAAAGCTGTGTAAGTCGCGTGACCAGAGCAGAAATATCTTCTAAACAAGCAGCTTAATCACATTTTTTTTTAACCTTGGAGACAGATTAAAGAATGCTCTTATACATAACGCAAGATATCCTTAGGGATGTTTTTGCCTATTATCCACTCGTTACGAACCCACAAATAAGAGCGATTTTTCAAAACCAGGCATGTCAATTGTACCTCTTAGCGTCATAACAGCTTGCAACGAATGAACATTTCAAACCACAAGACAGCATCCGAAGGCTTGTTCCAGGGCGCTATTTAAGGCAGACCAAACAAGCAGGGTTCTTTTGAAACTAATCACAAAACAAGAACGTATCTGTTTTCCCTGTTTTTATTGGTTCTTGCAAGTTTCCACCCCGCTTTGGTTGGTTACTGCTTGGATACGCCCTTTTTGATTGGTTATTGCTTGGTTCTGCCCCTTGTTTTGACTGGTTCTTGATAAGTTATGCCACCTGTTTTAATTGGTTCTTGCTACGTTCCACTTGATTTCACAAAAAACCCTTCTATGCAACACTCTCGAGCATCAATATTTCACATCATTACCCGCATCTTCACAACGTAGTCTTATTTCCAAACACGGGTTAAATCACACAGAGTTCACTCGCCAACATTACCGCGCAATAACTCGCACAATTAACTCCCCTAAAGTTAACAATGTCCTTTTGCGTTTTCATGAATTAAAGCTAAACGTTTGTTTATGAATCCCCACACCATTTCGTTTATTTTCTCTTTCATTTTGGTTGCAAATTTTATCTACAATAGTTTCAGTAGCGACAATTTTCATCTAAAACGGTTACGTATAGAGGTATTTGCTAACAGCAGACATGTGATTGCAGCTACTTTCTTTTAATTGACTGAAACAATTGAAGCAGACTCCCACTTTATACCTCATTTCTTTTATCTTGTAGTTGCAGTGTCCTATAAAGAATTCAAATAACACGTGATTTTAAACTCTGACCATTCAGAGAGATGTTGATTAGTCACTTGCGTTTGTCACAGATGAAATATCTCTTCAAATTGTCAAAAGTTTACATTATCGCCATGAAGAATAACTTTCTTATCAGATAGTTTAAGGACATCTGTTACATGGAGGCGACAAAACCTTATCTTAACCATTTCTTTATTAAAACATTACTTTTATATTGGCTTTAATTTAGCTGAAAAAAATTATATTATTAGTTGTTTTATTAAGTACCATTTCCAGAAACATTTTAGTTCTTAAATATCACTAAATATCGAAGAGTAGAGCACAATTTCAAGTAAAATGCAAAATTACCAGTGTTAAGCTCAGCATAAAATTACTTGCATGCTTAACATTGACGAAATGTTTGGTTTGGTTTCACTAGTATGAAGACATGTTTTGACATGCTACGTTGTGGAATGAAAAACCACTTCAACAAGTAAAAAAGATTACCTCAAGAACCACTGTCAACAAACGCTACGCTTTTAACCTAACCCTGTCACGTGGCCAAATAAATCACAAAAAATAATAGTGGGATGAAGTGGATGTTAGAAGTCAAATAGCTTTATGAGATTTGTAAGATCGCCAATGACTCTTTCCGCAGCTATTTTCTCTGATTGGCAAGGAAAGGTGACAGGGTATTCCTAGGAAGTTGAATGAATCACTTCCACATTATGGTTTTATGTATGGAACTTAGAAAAAGTGTGCATTCAGGCCAACGTGGCGTACACTGTTATCCCAAGTTGTCTGAGAGTAACACAATGACCTGGCCAGCACACAAGCTGGCACACTCAACCCAGAGTACAAATCAGTAACCATGAGGCCACTAGATCTTCTACACTATGGTATGGTACAATGCACCAGTAGTGCTCTTCGTTTGAACACCTAAGAACTCAGAATTACCATGGGCTACTGGTTCATGAAACAATAAATAAATGTGATCCTTTGTTAATAGTTCACAAATTAAATAACCTCATTTAAATACAACCCACACCAAGAACACCTGAATTCACGCAATCATTATTAATCCTCTTGAAATAATCTTTTTATCATAAACTCAAACAGCTGTTGTATGCATGCATGACACAACACCATAATACAGGACCCACTTTCTGAGCATGCAAAAACAATTACTGCTTATGACCATGAAAATA